CTTCCCATGTATTTTGTACACCGTTCATATATACATAATCATTTTAGCTATATGTAAGTTGATTAAATTTTAAATTTCGATAAGTCAGTTTTCTGATTGTTGATTAATTTGTAAGGATTTGTGTTCATTTTTTCCTTTTGTTGTTTCATAGCTTGTTGGGCTGAATTTTTAACTTACCCTTAGTTGTCGTAAGTCACTTTTCTACTAGGCTTGAGGCCCGCTAACTGTTGCCGTTTTTTTTAATGTTTGTATGTGCTTTTGCTTTTTTTAGTTGTTTTTTTCTCTATATGAGTATTTTTAGGACGGTGGATGACTGTAAATGTATACACATAAGTGCTATACAATATATGTGTAAATTACACTAGGTGTTAAAAATAGACTATTATATGTTTATTCTTTGCATATTACAAAAAGTGGAATTTCAGTGCAAAGTTCGGTGTAACTTTTTAAGTTTTTCCTTCGTTTCTTTTCTTCTTAAATGGTTATACCAGTGTCTTCATTTTTATCCTACAAAACTCCATTAATTTAATTTAACTTATTATTTCATTTCCTTGCTTTTTAAGGATAATATCAATGCAACTGATCTATTACTTCTTACGAAACTTCATTCTTGTAAAATTTTCACTATAATACGCTAATTCTTTCGTATAATACAAAGTACATTTTTTTTGTAAGTTGGATCCAAATTTTGTCAACATTTTTTTTGTAAGTTGGATCCAATGCCACCAATCAATTCTTCCCCAGAAACGTTCATTATTTTGATTTTATTTTAGTTTTTACTTTACTTTATATTATTTTCTTCTTAAGGGTAACACAAATTTGAATAACTCATTCCTTCTTAGGAAATTAATTATTTTGGAAATTCCACTATTTATATGTTTATTTTCTTCATATCACAAATAAACTTAATTTATGTATAACTTGTGTGCAAATTTTAACATTATGTTTTTTTATTTTATTTCTTATGAAATGGTAATACCGACGCCACTAATTCCTTCTTTTTTAGAAATCTTCCTTATCTTGATTTTGTTTTAGTATTTATTTTATTTTATTTTTATTTAAGGGCACCAATGCCACTAATTCATTCTTTTTTAGGAAAGCCTTTTGAGTTTGTTTATTATTTCATTTGCTTGCTTTTTCAAGGGTAATACGAATGCCACTAATTCATTACTTCTTATGAAACTTCAGTTTTTTTTAAATTCACACTATTATATGCTAATTCTTCCATATCATAAAATGCATAACTTTTGTGAAAATTGTGACCAATTTTTTTCATTTTTTAAAGTTTTTTCTTTCTTCTTAAAGGCTACTACCAATGCCACTAATCGATTCTTCCTCCGAAACCTTCATTATTTTGATTTTGTTTCATTTTAGTTTCTTTCTTCATAAGGATAATACAAATTATACTAATTCAATCCTTCTTACGAAATTTATTATTTTGGAAATTCCAATATTCATGTATTTATTTTTTGCTTATTACAAAAATATATAATTTATGTGTAAATTGTGTGCAAAACTTGACAATATTTTTTTACTTTGGTAATATCAATGCCACTAATTCATTCTTTCTTTGAAATCTTCATTATCTTGATCTTTTTAGTATTTATCTAAATTTATTTCTTACCTAACGGCAATACAAATACCACTAATTCATTCCTTCTTGAAACTTTTTTGTGAAAATTACAATATTATATGCTTATTTTTGCATATTATTAAAAAGCACAATTTCTATGTAGATTGTTTGCAAATTTTGTCATTTTTTTTCTTAAAGGGTAATATCAATGCCGCTAATTCATCCGTCCTTGAAAAAAACATCATTTTTTATTTAGTTTTAATTTTTGTTTCATTATCTTAGTATAGAAAAGTAGACATATTATAGGCCCGCCTACGCTTTTCTCGTCATCTTCATGTGAAGATTAATTGAACTCTAACTTTGTATATGTAGACATACCTCTTTATTGTAATTAAGTTTCATTGGATCGATCGATAAAAACTTACACATAGAATATATATCTATAAATGTAGTTTCTAGGATCTGTTCAACAAAACATACTACTATATCTAGCTAGCTTGTGCTTTGTAGTACTTCCCACAGAGATAAATTTATGGATCCATTTTATGTTGAGAAATCATACAATCGTGAAGGTTTTCTTGTTTTTGTGAGTTCTCCAAAGATCAAGTGAGGAGACACCAAGTGAGAGTATGCATTTACGCACTTGTGGCGTTGGATAACGTTTGATAGTCGCTCGCTGCATAGGTGCATGTAGGTGCTAGCGATAAGCCATGTCGCCAGCATTTATGTGTTTTTGCTTTTCTCTTTTAGTTTTCTCTTTAGTTGGTTTTTCTTTTCTCTGTATGAGTATTTTTAGGATGGTTTGTGAGTATAAATGTATACACACAAATGCTATACAATATATGTGTAAATTACACTAGGTGTTAAAAATGTATTATTATATGCTTATTCTTTGCACATTACAAATGGTGCAATTTCAGTGCAAAGGTGGGTGCAATTTTTCAAAAGTTTTTTCTTCCATTTTATTTCTTCTTAAATGATAGTACCGGTTTCACTAAATCATTTTTTCTTGCAAAACTTCATTATTTTGATTTGTTTATTATTTCATTTTCTTGCTTCTTTAAGGGCAATGTCAATGCCACTAATTCATTACTTCTTACGAAACTTTATTTTTGTAAATTTCCATGATTATATGCTAATTCTTCCATATAATAGAAAGTGCAATTTTTGTCTAAATTGTGTCCTAATTTTGTTATTATTTCTTTAATTTTTCCCTTTCTTTCTTCAGGGTAATACCAATGCCACTAATCATTGATTCTTTCTAAAAAAACCTTCATTGATTTAGTTTTAGTTTTTATTAGTTATTTTATTTCTTCTTAAGGGTAATACAAATTTCACTAATTCATTCCTTCTTAAGAAATTTATTATTTTACAAATTCCACTATATGTTTACTTTTGCATATCACAAAAAACATAATTCATGTCTAAATTATGTGCAAATTTTGACATTTTTTATTTTTCCATTTTTATTTTCTTCTGAAATGGTAATACAAATGCCACTAATTCATTCTTTCTTACAGAAGTTCTTTATCTGGGATTTGTTTTAGTATTTATTTCATTTTTTCTTATTCAAGGATAATACCAATGCCACTAATTCATTCCTTCTTATTAAATTTTATTTTTACAAAAAATATACTATTATATGTTTATTCTTGCATATTGTGAAAAGGCACAATTTCTGGGTAGATTGTGTGCAAAATTTGTCATTATATTTTTTGTCTTAAAGGGCAATATCAATGCCACTAATTCATTCTTTCTTAGAGTTATTATTATTATTTTGATTTATTTTTTAATTTCCATTTCATTATCTTAGTATAGATAATTACACATATTATAGGCCTGCGTACGTCTTTTCTCGCCATCTTCATGCGAAGATTAATTGAACTCTAACTTCATATACACACATATCTCACATCGTAGTTAAGTTTAATTGGATCGACCGATCAAAACTTACACATAGAATATATATCTATAAACTTTAACACTTGTGTGCAGAGGGCAAGGTGCAGTCCGAAAGTAGCTGGATGTACCGCGACGACGTTCGGGCTAGCGACAATGTCCGTCGCAACGAGCACAAAGGGTAGGAGTGTTGTGGAGATGCTGGAGACGTTGTGGGATCAGTATGGCGGCATAGCAAGGGTGGTGGCGAAGCTAGGGAAGGGCTGACGCGGATGAGGGAGAAGAGAGGGAGGAACAAGGTCAAACTGGCAAGGTCAGGGGAAGGGAAGATGCTTTGATGCAATTTGAGGTGAAGTTGGCCATTTGGTCCGACGTGACAGACGCGCCCGGACTTGTGGGGCCTCCCTATATCCGTCCTAGATATGAGCTAGATAAGAGGGGTGTCGGTCAGCCCAAACTTATAAAACCGGTATAAGGAGCCGTTTGGACAGGCTTTTTTGCCCGATCAGTCATATGAGGATTTGCTCTTAGTTCCCAAACTCGAGAGAGAAAAGAAAACTGGAACGTTGCCAACATCGTGCAAATTCTTTGTTACAAACTAGATGTGTAAATCCGTAGCGATAGACGGTAGTAGTACAATTTTTTTCTCGGAGCCTCGTAAGCACGCAACACGTATAAATAGCTTTCCACTGCCCCTGGCCGTGCATCGTCTCATGTGGTCTTAGAGCCGTGAAGGCATGGTGGATCTTGGTCCTTGTTAGCGGGAGCCGGGAGGGTTACGTTTTTAAGTTTTTTTTTAGTATTTTAGGTTTGTGTCTTCTTCGGGAAGGCTAGATGGCGGCGACCTTCTGAAGTTGGAATAAGTTTCTTCCCATCTAGCCCTATCCCGATGATGCTACTAGTGTCATGGGTGGGCATGTGGAGGTTGTCTCCGGCGGATCTCGTGGGATTCGATCGGCGTTTGTGTCATTGTTTGTCTATTTTCGTGTGTTTACAGTTGGATTCTTCTGATCTACGCTTTTCTTCATCGGCGGCGTTTGCTATTCTGGTGCGCTGGTCCTCTGGGGCCTTAGCACGTCAACTTTCGGACTGTGGGCTTGTTTGGTTCATAACTAACTTTGCCACAACTAATCTTAGGTAAACTGTGGCTGCCACAAAAAGTGTGGCTAACAAAATGGCCACCACAAGTGTGGCAAGATTTGGCAAAAATTTGAGCCCATGACTTGTGGGCCGTATAACTAGAAAAATGTGGCAAGCCACAAGTGTGACAATAAACCAAACATATGCCTAAGGTGTTGTGGCATGACTAAGGTTAGGCGTGGCAACCTTAGGCTGCGAACCAAACAATTCCTGTCTACTACAACAAGATTTGCCTGGGTCCGGCGATGAAGGGGGGTTGATGACGGCGTGCTCTCGGTTTGCTCCAGTGCGTGTAGTTGTTGCTATGTAGTCTACGCATCTGGATATAATTTTTACTCTCGTTGTTTTTTATAAAAAAACAATTCTGCTCCGCCATCACAAGCAGGAAATGTGCCGACGTGCCGAGCCCCGACCCGCCCGAGTGGACGGACGCCGTCCAATCGTTTTCGTCACCAGCTTCCAGGCTTGCACAGCTGCTCCAATGATCCAATCCCGTCCCTCGAGTCCCCACCCGTCAGATCGGAAACGCCAATACGCGCAGCGCACCTATCCCCCACTACCACCGGCAACCGACGGACCCCGCACCCACTCCACCCCCTCCCCCTCCGGCAGCCCGACCGACGCCGCAGCCGCCGCGATGGGCCGCAAGCTCGCGCTCCTGGTGGGCATCAACTACCCCGGCACCAAGGCCGAGCTCAAGGGCTGCCACAACGACGTTGACCGCATGCACAAGTGCCTCGTCGACCGGTTCGGCTTCGACGAGGACAACATCACCGTCCTCCTCGACCGCGGCTCCTCCGGGCCGCAGCCCACCGGCGCCAACATCCGCCACGCGCTGGCCAAGCTCGTCGGGGACGCGCGCCGTGGGGACTTCCTCTTCTTCCACTACAGCGGCCACGGCACGCGGCTGCCGGCCGAGACCGGGCAGGACGACGACACCGGGTACGACGAGTGCATCGTGCCCAGCGACATGAATCTCATCACAGGTGCGATCGGGAACAAGATCAGCATCCGCTCCCATTTTTTTCTGAAAAAGTAATCGAGATACGGTAGGATTAGCTAAACAGTTACAGCCTTCAGATGTGAAACCGATTTTGGAGGAGACAGGTGAACGCAGATGTGATGTGGATCTGATCCAGGATCAAGCCCTATCCAAATACTGATGAGTTTGTTGGGCAGTTTACGGCCCATTTATTCATCTGTTTTGCGTTGCAGTAAGTTTAAGATGATCTTGGTAAAGTTTGAAGTTAATATATATGGCGTAAATGGTTGTATTAGGATAATTTGGAGCTACAGTTCAACTGCCGAAACTATTGTGGATAGACAGGGAATAGTAATTGGATGTAAAGATGCATATATGTGCTTACCATTTGCATAGTGTCGTTACTGTGCACATGTTTTGCACAGAATTGTGGTTGTAGCAATTCCCAAGATCTGCAGCTTAGGGGCCGGTGTTGTTTCAGATTTGTTTCGTTGTGGGCAAAAATGATAATTAGCACTGGCAGGATCTTATTTGAGCAATGCTTGGCCATTTGAGGAAAGGAATGTAGGCTCCCGGCGAGCGGAAGTTTCTTAGCAATTGTCTTAATAGAAAGACGAGAAGTGCTTAGGCCATATGTCAGCCTCTTGTTTCTGCATGTTTGTTCACTATATTTTCTAGCTAATAGGCTGTTATTGTCCATGTAACTGATGTTCATTTTCTGAAAATTTGTTATAGCAAACATTTTACCCCCTTGCACTCTAATTTTAAACACATTTCCGAACCATTCTGTGTCCAGTGAATGATTCTCAGCTGTCGAAATTCCTAACCTGTTATGATCTGCAGATCAAGATTTCAGAGATCTCGTGCAGAAGGTCCCGGATGGTTGCATATTTACCATTGTCTCCGACTCATGCCACAGTGGTGGCCTACTGGACAAGGCAAAGGAACAGATAGGCAATAGCACCAAGCAGAATCAGACCCAGTCTCGTGAATCCGAAGAAGAGCGATCTCATTCTGGCGGCGGGTTCCGGTCCTTCCTCAAAGAGACCGTTTGTGACGCATTTGAGTCTCATAGCCGCCACGGAGGTGAGGACCAGGATGAGCAACCAACTGGGGATGGCCTCACTAAAAACCGTTCTCTGCCACTCTCAACACTTATTGAGATGCTCAAGGAGCAAACTGGGAAGGATGACATCGAGGAGGGCTCAATCCGGCTGACTCTGTTTAACGTCTTCGGGGACGATGCCAGCCCAAAGATCAAGAAGTTCATGAAAGTCATGCTTGATAAGTTCCATGAAGGTGGATCAGGTGAGCAGGGCGGTGTGATGGGCATGGTTGGTTCGCTAGCTCACCAGTTCCTGAAGGCTAAGCTTGACGGCACAGAGGAAGAGACTTTCAAGCCAGCGATAGAACAAGATATGGGCAGTGCTGAGGAGGCGTATGCCGGGACTAAGTCATGGGCGCCGAACAACGGCATCCTCATCAGCGGGTGCCAAACCAGCCAGACATCAGCAGATGCCACCATACCGGGGGGTACGTCCTTCGGCGCGATGAGCAATGCCATCCAGGCCATTCTCGCGAGCGATGATGGAAAGATAACAAACAAGGATCTGGTTATGAAAGCACGCGCGGCGCTGTCCAAGCAAGGATACACTCAGCAGCCTGGGCTCTACTGCAGTGATGAGCATGTTCATGTGGCTTTCATCTGCTGAAACATGGATTGACGTTGTGCTTTGTTTCCCTTTCTGTGATGAGCTGTGCACGAGAGGTTTCAGTTTTCCCTAGCTCCCCCCGGGTTTGCTCCCCCCTGGTTTGCCGTGGTTATGTATTTATTATGTCAAAAACTGTGAGTTGAACTACATCAGTACTGAAATAAGGAATTGCCATGTAAACTTTATACATAGTACACATAAAGTTGCATCTTTAGTTTCATCCAACTTCTCTAATATGTTATCCTGATATACTTGCAGTGTTTTTTTTTGCAGCGATATTAACTTGTAGTGTTAGATTCACAAAAATCTTATGTTAGTTCAAACATTGGTTGTTTACGTGCAATGTCCTCCTGAAGAATTCAACTCATATTTGCCCAAAAATAGAACAGGTATTCAACATATCAGAGGGTATATAAAACGAAGCTCTTTGGTAGTACATCTGAAATCGACCTCCAGCCATTTTATTTGATTATCAGACAATAGAGTAAAATACCATGAACATAACCATTTCAATCCAGTATTATACAAGCTAGACTCGAGAGGCTCTGCCACACCGTGGACACTG